CACGTTAGATAGATGTGTAAAACACCTCAGTTACTGTGCCGCAATACATAAATGAAAAAGAAAATAAATACAACAGTTGCGTGCCAGCTGAGATACCAGCAACGAATGGTCTTCGTTCCGGAAGGCTAGCGGCCAGCTACTAGACAACAAGAAAATTTCTTATATAAAACTATGTTATGCTACGAAATGAGATCGTGGTTGGAGGGGGAGGCTAGAAGGGATGAGAAGAGACGAAACTCACAGAACGAATGCCACTGAGGTCGGCTCCTAACGATATCAGCAAGTGTATCTAGCCAAACGTATTCATCGTCTTTCGGACCTCAACCAGGGAGCCGAAACGCTTTGACTGAGGCCAGTCTCCAAATGAGGGCCTTCATTTCTCTCGACCAAATCATCGCTTGACCACTTCTTCTTCCATTCGCACCCCGGCGTGCAAACAACGCGCGTCGCGGAAGTCGGTGAGCTGGCATGCGGAACACTTGGCCGAACCATCGGAGCCTGGTATGTGAAATAACAGTGCTGAGCGATTCAGTTCATTTTCCTGTACCGTAAACAAGGCGTCGAACACGCTCGTTGCTCACGCGGTATTCCCACCAGATGTGAGCTAACATGCGATGGCAGCGATAGTCGAACGTAACTAGCCTCTTCATGTCCGCTGATCTAAGGGGCCAGGTTTCACTATCGTACAGTAAGGTCGAACGTACCGCTGCATTGTACACTCTACCCTTTAGGGCGAGAGTGATGTCGCGCCGCCGCCATAGGTGGCGAAGGTTAGCAAAAGCACTTCGAGCTTTCGCTATAGGGTTCGTGATCTCGTCTTCCATCCAAAGGATGCTGATACAACTTCCCAGATAGTTGCATTTCTGAACAACTAGCTGACCCCCACCAATGATCAGCGCAGGAGGCAATCCTTGCCTATCTTAGAGGAAAGCTTTGCACTTCGATGGTGCAAAGCAAATCCTGAAGTGACTGACAGCCAGCACTAATCTGTCCAGTGCAGCTTGGCTCGTCTGGGAGATGTCACAGATTAGGGCAATGTTGTCTGCATTTTCCAAGTCAAGAAGTTATCCTGCTGAGAGTAGCTCCACACCTTCTAAGTCTTGTCCTGTAAATGCAATCTCCATGACTTCGTCATTAGCAAAATAGAAATGGTGACAACGGGCATCCTTGTCTGACACTGCTGGAGATATTAAAGGGCGGTGACAGCTTGCCGTAAACCCTCACTCTGCTTGTGCTACGCTCGCATAACAATCGGGTAATATTTACATATTTCTCAGGTACACCTTTCCTAGGTAGACAGTCCCAAAGGGCACATCGGTCAACCGAATGGAAGGCGCTATGATGTCTAGGAACACGACAACGGTGGGCCGCCAATATATGTGACGGTGCTCCAACAACTGACGCAAAGTGAAGACGTGGTCAATGCAACTACGACGCCGACGAAACCCGGCTTGCTCCTCATGTTTCTGGCTTTCACGCGCGCCAGTCAATCTCCGAAGACTACGAAGGCAAGTAATTTGGAAGCGATGGAGATCAGACTGATTCCTCTATGGTTACCACCTTCAGAACGCGAGCCTCTTTTGAAGATGGGAACAATAACGGGGCGGCTCCAGTCGTTTGGGACAGTTTCACTAGTAATCCGTTTAAATCATCTACAAGAGCAAGTCCGTCGAATTTGAAGAGTGCTGAAAGATCCTCTGGTCCCGCGGCTTTGTTCTACTTTAACAGTCCGATCTCACGTTTGACTTTTAAGCGAGAGGTCGGATCCAAAGGGACAGACCGCGGAGCAATGCGATCACTGGCCGGTGAGGAATCGAACAATTCTGGCCGATTAAATTGCCTTTCAAAGTGTTCAGCCCAACGCTCCAAGCGTTTTGACAAGTTGTGGATAGGCAGTCCACTCTCGTCACGTATAGTTTCACTAACACCAGGTATCCTGCTGCCCGTTTCCCGTATCAGACGGAATAACTTTCGATGATTGCCGAGGCTTGCTGGCTTGCCGAACAACCTCCTCGTGGTGCCAGCTGGGTGGTTCGGGATTTTCCCGTTCCAGCAAATGGTTCGGCGGCAGTGTTCCAGGACGTGGTGGGTTTTCGCCTGGCAAGCGTTCTCCCTATAAAAGACCACATATGTCCGTTTAACAACACTGTGACGTGGCGGACGTGACTCGCCACTAAATAAAGTCACTGCCGCTTGCTTCATCCTGGCGAAGCATTGTATTCCAGCGACCTTATGCTGTACTTCTGGGGAGCATTGGGCCCCTGTTTGACAAAGGAACAAACGAAAGGCGTATGAACTGAGCAGTCACCGGCTCCCAATGGGCGCGATTCCCTGAATTCACTCCACTGCCTTGCGGGCAGGCTATTCAGCCAAAGGCTCGGGGTGGTGTCCCCTAAGTCAACACCCTACTTCGGCTTGGGCAACCGGGTAGTATTTCGCCCTCTGAGGAAACCATGGACATTGTTGTGTTGTGTTTTATTTTACTGTTTCTGTACCTTCGTTTGAATCCCATGGTTTCTGATGGCATTATGTCTGTTAGCAGACTTTTGCAAATATATTGCCAAGGCAGCGGCCACTTCCATCTCTGACGTACGAAGAGATCAACAGGATTCGCGGTCTGTCTTCAAGCTATCATGAAGTTTTGCCCGGAGCTCTTTGCGAGTTTCATTGTGTTTATTTCCAGCCGGAATATGCCTTCGAGAATCGATAAGTTCCATAGACCGCGAAGAGACCCAATATCCATGTTGGCTATTAGACTTGCCGCATGAGGATTTGCCTACTGCTAGTAAGAACTGGTGGACCTGCGACCACTGACCATCAATTGTCTCCAGTGAGCGCTTACTCAACTCGCATGTCAGCGTACTTTGATAGGCATTCAGAACAGCTGGCTTTATCAGTTGCCTGGTGTCAGTGCGCTCACAGCGTCGTCGTGGGCGTCCGCCAAAGCGCATCCGCATGTCAGCACATACAAGTGCATGGTCGGTGTCCACACTTATGCTCCAAATTGAGCGACAGTTCTGGATGCAGCCTTTCTAGCGGTAAATGATTGCAATGTGATCGATTTGCCTCCATAGCTGGTTCGAGGCTGGTGGGCGCCAAGTCACTATCCGGCGAGTGCTGAGTTGGAAGTTAGTGACCGCAAGAAATAAGCGATCATCTTCACACAAATGAAGTAACCGCTCACCGTTATCATTACAGGAGCCTACACCATGCTGACCATTCAGATGCATTTCATCAATGGACAAATTTCCAACTCGTGTGTTCAGATCCCCCGCCAGCACAACAGTATCCATGCTTCTTCTGTGGCGAATGAGCTGGGTCAGTGGGCGGTAGAAATCGTCTTTTACCGTATCATCGCTAGAGTTTGTGGGCGCGTAGGCAGCGATGATGAATAGGCACCTATTAGTCCCGCGCGACTTCGAAGCTTTGAACGAGCCGGCCAATCGGATCGCACGCAACCAGGCTACTAATTGTAATCCCGTCAACCAGAGCAGCTTCAGCCCGGGGACTCAGGGCAATACCAACACCGGCGTGGCCGATGCTCGAAGCTGTATCGTCACCGGTTTGGTGCAATGAGAAAATACCGCTGGGGTCAGCTGAAGGGGATCGCAGTGTAAGCACAGAGCTCGAGTATTGCAGGCGGGTTTCTGATAAGCAGCAAATATCGATCGGGATGGTCTCTAATGTTCGGGCAAGTGCTGCCTGTTGTCTGATCTGTAGCAATGTGCTTACATTGAGGCATGCCAATCTGAAGGATGATCGAGGGCTCCAAATGGAAGCTGATGAACTGTAGTGGACCGCTTGGTTATACATGGGCTTGTCGACAGGAGAGGAGTGACGCTCTGCATTAGCGTGTGCATTGAAACTAGAAGATAAACGCCTAGCAAAGCATGTTGGGGGAGGGCCGAGAATCGGGGGTTGAAAACTGAGGGGATAAAAGTGAAGTTGGAGCGGGATGGTAAGAGAGAAAAAGTGTAAGAGGGAAAATAAGTAACCGGGAAGGTTTGAGCAGTAGCATCCGAACCCCTGTTCACCCTGCTCGATGTAGCAGAAAGAGCACGGTTGCTTATTCTCTGCGGTGGCCAGAGCAACAAGAGATTGTTAGAAGGAAAACTCATGGTATATTGCTTGGGCAGGATACTGTCAGGTTGCCCAGACCTAGACAGGAGAAGGATTAGGGTACTCAACCAAAACCTTTGGTTCAAAAACTTTACCGCAAGGCAGCAGGTTTGACGTTGGGCTTCAATTAGTCCGTTTTAAGGAATAAGGTGCAGCCCTCATTCCAACCACCAATCTGGACGACCAGAAGGCTGACTTTGTCTGGCCTCTAACCATTGACCGATCTTATATGAGTGGCTCTGAAGGTGCAGAAAAGCACCACTCAGCATAGCTCAATGGATCACTGAGGCACATAAACCATCGCACCACGGTGAGGTCCAGCCTCATTATGATGGACTCACCCGGGGGGGGGGGTCAGACGAGTGTGAAACGGTAGACGAGCAGTGGTATAACAATAGCGACTTGCAGTAAAGTTGTACCTAAAAGGTAAAAGTTCTCTCTTGGGCGCCACAATAGCTTTTACTTGGTATGTGACGTCGATGTTAACTTTCTGTCCGCAGGTTTTCGGGTCAGATATATTGATTACTTTCGGTTGGTCACATCTGTTGACGCTGCCATGGACTGATATATGTTAGGTTTGCGTTGTGAGTTTTCTTATCCCATCCCCTCCTCTCCAGTTACCATTCGTCCTCGATTTTTAATATAAAACAGCATCATATCGCTTGTTTTTTTCATTTCGTTTCTTTTTTCTGCCATCATATGTACTATAGCGTGACACAGTAGCTTACTTGGTTCTCATTTTAAATTAACAGGTAAGATAATAGTGTATTATTTTCCTTCGTTTTGAACTATTTCTCCATCTTTCAGCTAATCGTTGCTACATTTATCCGAGAAGGCAATTTTGGCTTGATTAATTTTACCCTTTTACTTTTGAACTTCCAGCAATGGTGGCATTGCAATGAATGCTAGCGTCTACAATCCAATGTTTATTTTGGGTGCCAAGCAGCTGTTGACGCGGTTCGGCTTGAAGTTCTTCAACGTCGCTTACCTGAGCACTTCCTCGCCTCGTGCTGATTGGATTCGACGCAATACTCCAAGAAAGCCGGAACTTTACAAAATACCAAAGGCCTTTACTATATTGGAAGAAGAAATGTAAAATGTGTGCAAATGTTTTTGATAAAGGCATTTAGGACACTACCGGAACCTTGTAAACCTTCCTCAGCTGAAGATGAGCTCATTGCACATGGTGAGTTGCCAATGTCTGTCGTCCACGACGTTTTATCTGCTTTATTTTACTGTCATTTTATCTCGCTTCTAATTTGCCAGTGTAGCATTCTCGCCTGCTGCCTTCGTAGTACAAACCGCGGAGATGTTTGAGTGTATGATTTTCACAACCAGTTTATATCAACTGTAGTGTGAACGCGTTGTTGATTGATTAATTGGAAGCCAAGTAACCGCACGACTGTCGGCCCGTGGCCGAGTGATCTGTGCGCCTGATTTGCAACCATAAAGTCGCCGGTTCGACTCCGCGTAGGGCTGGGCGTCCTCGCGCTATACTCAGCCCGCGCGCAACTGGTGGTGGTCGCGTGACAGCGAGGCGCCGGCGCGGCGTAAAGCTGACACACTACTAACGGCACGATACGCATTGATATTGTAACTACTCAATCGGTTGCGAAATGGTTCAGACTTCCAGCTTGAAATCCACGAGCTACCTGTTTGAGCCTGCATAGGTGGAGGCAACTCCTCCATTTTCCAGTTCATTGTAGAGTCGGCAATAGGTTTCGGCAAACCTGTCACTCATACACCAATCCTTTGGCAGTTGCTGGCTACACTATTTCTGCGTCGGCCCGTAGCCTAGGGGTAGCGAGCTCCTATCGTAATCTTGCGGTGCGGGTTCGAATTCGGGTAGAGGTGGGCGTCCCCGCAGTATACTCAACCCGCATGCGACTGGTGGTGATTGCATGGCATCGAAGTGCCGTTACGGCGTACAGCTGACACATTCTTTTATTTTTTAACATTTGCACTATTCATGCCAGACTAGTCAGCGGTTTAGTAGCTGATGAACTCATCATCGGCCTTTTGCACGGTCTACATGTGTATTTCAACCCTTTAGCTCCCTTTTCATGACGCGTCTCTTTGAGTGAAACAATCTCGATCCTGTTACTCAGGGTCTTCTTGACATCTGATTCCTTTTCAACACTTTAATCCCTTAATGTTTCGATCTCTCATCCATCTTCTGAATCACAACCTTAGTCTCCCTGCCTACCGCTTTATCCAACGTAACGCGCACATTGCTTCCATTTTTCAGACATAATTGGACGTGTTAATGCGGCCATTGTGGACAACAAATATCGCTGCTTCGCTGTCGTCCACGTGGCCGGAAAACAGTTCAAAGTCACAACCGATGACTTAATTATGGTTAAAACGCCTCTCTTCGGTACCGAAGTTGGCGATCGCATTCGTTTAGAAAAAGTCCTCCTCGTTGGATCCAATGAATTCACTCTCATCGGCCGACCTATTCTTCAACCGAAGCAAGCATGCGTTGAAGCTCAGGTGATCGAAAAGACCTTGGAACACCCTAAATTGTGGTTCCAGTTTCACCGTCGACGAAGACACAAGAAAATGAGAGGTCAGTATTTATATAGTACTTTCACTTTGTTGTGCAGTGTTCCAGGATAATGTTGCAGTTCTGAGGATTACCGACATAAGCGTTAACACGATTGAAGAGGGCGCCGAACTCCCCACCCAATGAATCCCATGTAATCTCATTTTGTATAATAATACAGTATATTTTTGCTCACCTTATGCCTCCAGCCTTCCCCCTATAGTTGAATGATTTGTCCTTTGAGATCACTTCAACGTGAATCCGCAGTATATATGGCTGGCGGCATCCGGTTTCGGATTTGCCTGTCATTGTGGCAAACCACAGGACGCCTGCGCCTACAGAGTGACCATGGATGGCTTGCGCTGCACCACCCACAGCTCCAACCACACACCCCATATCCAGTGTAAACCCGAAGAAATAAGACCGGGAGGTATGCGGATTGGAACCACGTTTCATCAACGGAGCCGGCCCACACTCCTTCACAGGCAAACACAAGCACGCTGTATTTGGGGAATCAAGCGCACACAAGGTGGTGGCTGGACTGTAGTCCGTTCCACACTGAGTGCATGGGACCACTCTTCGAGCCTAACACGACCACAAGAACCGTGCACCCCGTCCCATCCAGCAACGACCAACTGTCTCCTAGAGCCAGTATGGACGAGGTAGTGGGTAACAGACAGGTAGGCACCTTGTCAACATGCACAACAAGCGCAGCCACACCGGAGATATCAGACAACAGCCAAACACTTGAGAGAGAGATACAAAGAAAATAACTCGATTGCTGCATAAGGAAACGGTGACATAAACCTTAAGTTAATGAGCATATGAAATAAGTTGTTTACACACGAATCCTCGATAAGTTCATGAGGTCAGAAAGTATACTTTACGGAAATGCCACGAACACAATAATGTTATGGAAATCAATTACAGTTGGCTTAAGCGAAGTGTGCAAGTTAATGGAATAGAGTACAGGTAGACATTTATATGAGAAAGAAAAGCATTAAGGCAAAATTGAAAGCCCACCTTCTGAAATAAAGAGACTTAGCATGCAAGCACGCGGTTAGTAAATCGAATGCTGCGCCGGTTCTGAATACTTCTCTGCAGGACCCGTCGTCGCTTCTGTAGTGGTCCCGAGTGGCCTCGTTCATGGCTCACTAGACATTTATATGAGAAAGAAAGGCATTAGGACAAAACTGGAAACGCACCACCTGAAATAAAGAGACTTAGCATGCAAGCCTTGTTTTCGGATTATTCACAATGCCGAAGCAGTCATCCTGTGGTACTTGCTCCAAACTAGTCGGATACCGTGCAAATGCCCTCACGTGTATTTTGTGCCAAGTTAAATACCACATTTCATGTGTTGGATTATCAGTTGAGCATTTTCATCGTCTTCGCGAGATCCAACACGATTTCATCCAAACTATATGTGAAAATTGCCGAAATAAGATACAGCCAGAAAGAGTAAAGCCGACGTGTAGGCCTCAGCGTTTCGTTGCGAACAGCTCCGTGTGTTTGGCCCAACAACCTAGCGCGAAGAGCCTTCAGGTTTCGGCTCAGTCGTCCTCCTCTACCCGTGCAAACTCACCGACACCAAGTCCAACCGTTGTGAGAAGCCCAGTTGCACCTGGCCTAAATTGTTTACCTTTGTTGTGTCCACCGGACACTGATGTCCCAGCAGGTGAAAGTCTGAGTGCTGAAGACCAGTGGAAAGAACAGAGGACGAAATTACGAAGGAACGTTGAGCGTTTACGTTCTGTAAGTCAACAGTTAGCCAAACCACTTGAGGCTGGTAGTATACTTCGCCCAGCAAAGCCAATCTCGTCCTACCAGAGGCGTTATAATCTCGTGATCTTTCACGCACCGGAGTCCAGTGATCCATCACCCCAAGTGCGCTACGATCACGATGTCGAGTTTTTACAGGGTCTAATTGATAGACTCCTCGACGCTGGTGAGGACTCGGTAAAAGTGAGGCAGATTACCCGTCTTGGAAAGCAAGGTGATCAACAAAATCGGCCTATGAGAATCACTTTTGTGGACGAAGCCAGTCCAAGACTGATCATGTCTCGCCTAAGTAGGCTGAAAGGTTTGAAGATCCATGTTCGTCCCGACCTGGACCCAGTAGACAGGGAGCGGCTCAAGTCTGCCATCATTGAGTTGAAAAGACGCGCTGGTGAGGGGGAAACAAATCTTCGTATCGTAAATTTTCGGGTGGTTTCCAACAATCCGCGAATCAGGATAAACAGGCTGCTCACACTTCAAGCACGCCCGGTGGCTCCTGCTGCGGCCTGCGAGTAGCCTTCACAAACGTTTGCAGTATTATGAATAAGCGCGATGAGCTTTGTTGTTTCGTTGCGTCTGAGCGGCCAGACGTAGTGGGACTCGCAGAGACATGGCTGCATGCAGAGTTATACACCCAAGAACTTGAACTCAACGGTTACTCGTGTTTCCGATGCGATAGACTAAAGAATGCCCACGGTGGTGTCTTACTTTACATCCGGTCTTCCCTGCGTGGGAGACTTGTGAGCACCTACCGAAGTGACGATGGCCTGTGTGAGCTACTGTGGTGCTCCATCCGCCTCAGGCGCGGAGAACTGCTTGTGGGCGCAGTTTATCGCAGTCCCCTGAGTCGTTGTTTGGATTGGCTGCCCCATCTTCAAGCCCACATGAGTCGTCCACACTTTCTGCTTATGGGCGATTTTAACTGTCCTCGAATACGATGGCCTGATGTGCATTTGATGCCTGGACATAGTGAGGTTGAAGCAAAGTTCGTGGATTTGGTACTTGAAACTGGTGCATCGCAACACATATGCCAGCCAACACGCATATCAACACGTTCAACCTCGTCCTGTCTCGACCTGATGTTAACGAGCTACGAACAACGAGTGCGTGACGTTAGGATCCTGGAGCCCCTGGCTACGAGCGACCACTCAGTACTGATAGCTGATATGGAATTATCTTTGCCGTATTCACATCCGCTGCAACCAGCTCCCAACTACTGGAAAACGGACTTCGATGGTCTAGCTCGAGCCGCGAGCCAACTGGATTGGTCTCTGTCACAAGCTGCATCTGTGGAAGATTGTTGGATATTTATAAAAGAGAGATTGACATCATTGTGTTCCCAATTTGTGCCATTGAAATGTCGAAAGGTTGGACCGATTAAGCCTCATTGGTTTGACAAGGAGTATGGAAACCTGGCTCGGAGGCGGCGCAGACTGTGGGACAAATTCCTTCTCTCTGGCTCTGCCAATGATTACGAAGGGTACAAATGTCAGCGGAACCTCTGCAACAGTGCGAAAAAGAATAAACGCCGACACTTTGAAGTGCAGCTCGCATTAGCCGCGAAGACCGCCCCAAAGAGAATCTTTGCATACGTGAAGCGACGCCTGAAGCCGGCAGGTGATGTGCCAGTGCTGGATGGCACGGATGGACAGCCCCTAACCTCCAGCACTGAGCGTGCGTCCGCGTTGGCGGCGCACTTCGCTTCTGTATTTGCGAATAACCAGGTGTCTGTTCCGAGTTCGACGTGTACCGCTTTTACCGAACTCGATAGTCTGCATTGCGGCGTTGAAGAGGTAGCTCAACTACTCGCCAACCTTGACGGCACCAAACCTGCCGGACCTGATGGGTTTCACCCACTGGTTCTCAAGTCACTCTCAACCATCCTCTCTCCTGTCGTGACTGACCTTTTCAACAGGTCGCTGTCCGAAGGTTCGTTGCCGGTTGACTGGAAATGTGCGGTGGTGAAGCCTATTCCGAAAGGCGGCGACCCTAGCAAAGTAGACAATTACAGGCCAATTTGTCTGACACCTATTTTGGCAAAGGTTGCTGAGAAAATCGTGAAGAAGAGATTGCTGCAGTTGCTACAGTCAAACGAGGTCCTGACGCCCGCACAGCACGGTTTTATGCAAGGTCGCTCATGCATTACGAACCTGCTTGTGACGAGGCATGAGTGGTTGAAGGCAATAAACAAGGGGAAATCCGTCGACGTGATATTCATCGATTTCAGTAAAGCGTTCGACAAGGTCAGTCATGAGGTTCTCCTTCACAAACTCAGCATGTGTGGCGTCGGTGGCTCACTGCACCGGTGGATCCGCGACTTTCTTGTTGGACGAAAGTGGAGAGTACAGGTCGACGACCATCTAACTGACTGGTACCCCTCTACAAGTGGCGTGCCTCAAGGCACTGTGCTGGGGCCCACTCTGTTCCTGATCCACATCAACGATCTACCGCAGCTTCTCCGGTCGCCGTGTGCCTTGTTTGCGGACGACATGAAGATTTGGAGAGAAATCGACGCTCCCGATGACTGTGGCCTACTTCAGCAAGATCTCAACCGCTTATCCACATGGTCTGCAGAAGTTCTTCTCCCGGTCAACCCAGCCAAGTCTGTATTTATGAGCCTGGGGAAGAATGCTAACGGCCGAACCTACACTCTTGACGGCCAAACGCTATATCCCACACCCTCCGTGAAGGACCTAGGTGTACTCTCACGCTACGATTTGAAGTCCGTGGACAACACGAACAGGCTATATCGGAACGGACTGCGCATGCTTTGGGCGCTCAAACGTAGCTTCGGCACATGGTCTGAAGAGGTTGCCACTCGCCTGTTCTCTTCTATCATTAGACCAATGCTAGAGTACGGTTCGCCCGCCTACTTTCCGATTACCCGAGGCGAGGCACAAAAGATCGAACGGGTCCAACACGTTGCTACCAGGCTCATCCCGAGTTTACGTGGCTTTGGGTATGAAGACCGGTGCGAGAAACTAGGACTCTACACCTTGTCCTACCGTCGGGTGCGAGTCGACCTCATTATGACCTACCGAATTCTACATCTCGGTGAGTTCCCCATGCTAAGGCCAATGCTGCACTTACGAGGGCCATGCAGCACACGCGGACACAGATACAAACTTGTCGTGCCGGATGTGAAATGTGTTCCCCACCCACTGTGCTTCGAACGGAGAGTGGTAAACATTTGGAACAGTTTGCCCGAACATGTGATTGAGGCAACATCTGTGCAACAGTTCAAAACGTTGTTAGATTTGTATTTTGCCTCTATTCGATTCAGAGAACGACTGCACACTTACGATGACATATCACATTTGTGAATCCTGAAATATCGTAAGTCGAATATTTTAAATATTACATGAGAACG